GATGTAGATGAATCTATCATGCTGATCAAGAATTGCAGCCATGACATGATGTGTACAGTTCACTACTGTCCCAACACTGACACAAGCCCATTGCCCAATATTTTTAGGGGAGCATGCATTGCCATAATGACCCACACAAAAGAGGAAGATTGCAAGTTAGATAGACACTGGTAGCTGCTTGTTATTCAATTGGTTGTGGAAGACAGGGTGATGACTGATTTGATCAAGATATCATTGAATATCTCTAGGTTAATGTGCAAATTTTTACAAAAGAGGTCTGGGTGGTTTTCTGCAAAATGTTCCAGAAGGTGCAGCTGAGGTGCTCTTGGCATTGGTTCCACTGGGCATTCAAGTACCCTGGAAGCCTCAACCTTGTCACATAGGGCTTGGATCACACTCAGTAGGTTCATATAAGGTGTGGTAGTCATTTCTGTCATGGAAACAGAGCTGGTACATCAGGAAAAGGGGACTTTGCTGTAGTTTTTTCTTTTGGCTTTTTATTGTCTTTCAGCACTTTTTGTCATCCTTTGTCACTTTATAACTGAAAAATGGCAAAAAAGGGCCAAAAAAAACCACCTATAGCAAAGTCCCCTTTTTCCTGAATAGATGCTGATTCTGAGTCAACTGACATGGATCCCATGCTGAAAGGGATGGTGATTCCAGGGAGACAGGGGAAATGATCATCAGGCTCAGTGGGCTAGGGGAAGAGTTAGATGATGTATCTGTCCAACTGGTGAGCTCTGAATCCATCTCATCAAGTAGTTGTGCTCTAATCTCTTCATTTTGCATTTGGGTAGCAGTGTCAAGTATGGGTTTACCCTCAGCTGACTGGACTTCAAGTCCATGTGATGGGGACTAAGTCCAGTTGACCAGAGTCAAGGCCAGAAGTCAGGGCCAAGTCCAGAGGTCTGGAGTCAAGACTGGGAGCACAGGAATAAGACTGGGACCATGGGAAACCAACCAGTGTCACACACCAAAGGTGTTTGGTGACTTGGACTTGGACAATGCTGATGAATGGAGATGCAAGACTAGGGCCCTAATGTGAAGAAAGACAGCCAGGAATGTTGGCAGTCATCCTTCACACAAGAATGAGTCATCAGTGCCAAAGAAAAGAGAAGGAAGCAGGTTAAGTGCCTATAAAAGTTCTTAGCACCCATATACAGCATTCCAGTTTTCAATGCATCTCCCCCATTTCAACAGATACCAACACCATTCCCACACTCACTTATAGTGCTCAGCCACACAATCCTACCTTCCAAAATTGGGAAAGATCCTCATACTCCACACATTTCTACAGCACTTGTTACACTTGACTGAAGTTGAGACATAGGTTGAGCTCAGCCACAGGTTAATGGTTTCTACTGAAGCAACAGCTACAGCAACCTCTGTAAATGACAGAGGATTTGGCAATGCCAGTAAGAGAAGTCCAGTGTATGGAATCCACATTCCCTGGACATGTAAGCCCCTATCATTGACCATTCCATGACTACCATTACATCCCCTTGCCACTTGTATCCACCATTTTTCATGCACTACCTTCCCATGCCCTTGCTCCTCTCATGTGGCTGCTGTGCTTTGGTTACTTCCCTTCCTTTGGACTCTTTCTTTTAACACAGTCTCTGTTCCCTTTTTGTTAGTAGTATACCCATGGCCTCTGTTCAGGCCTATCTTGTATGTATGTGCTGTCACATGGCCTTCCTCTACTTGTACCTTGACTTACTTAGGTTCTGGGTTTGCCCAGACTATAAAGCCCTGTACTTAGGTACAGAATGGGACCTTTTGGCACTTGGAAGGTCACCACAAGTTTCTTTTCCACTTTGTCTACACCACATGTTCTGCATACTGCCATGCACAAACTATGCACACCACTTGCATTGCCAGTACTACTCCATGGACCACACCATGCATGTCACAAATTGCTACCACTACAAATCACAGGGTCTCACCTTCTAGTCTCAGCAGTCCAGAATCCCTTGGGACAAGCAATTTGTTCCCTTCATTTTTATTGTTGTTATCTAAGCCATCTAACTTGTATTATACAGCTACTTGGACTTTTCCTACAACTGGAGCCCACTGTGAGGGATTCTGCTGTTGCTTCCAGAAGGTTGCTCAGGCACACTGCCAAATGCACCAAACTAGAAAATTTACACCTGCACTTTCCCAACCTCAACCTGTCAGAAGACTCTGACCTCTTCCACCCTGTTTCACCCATAACACTGGATCACACACAAACACCTGCTGACATTCCATGGGTACTACCCACAATCACTCCTCCCAATATTTCAGCAGATCAGATATCCATCATGCCAGATCACCTAGATTTCACTGCCCCTGACCTTCCCAGTGGCTTTATCTACTTGACTCCCCAAAGACCCAAAACCCTGCCATTACCTTTGACACCTGTCACATCATCTGATTCATCATCACCAATGCCCTCTCTTTCCCATCTCTTTGACACCTCCAAATATATACCCAGACTCTCAGATCCATCAGTCACACTGCTGCAACCACTCACTCAGTCACAGGCCACCCATCAGCCAATTAGTAACCCACCAACACTTCTGCCAGTCTGCTCATGCACTATACCAACCACTCCACATCTGCAACCAATACCCATTCCACCCATTACCAATCTGGTGCTGCCACCACAGGTTAACCCACCAATGACTAATCCTCAGTTTCAGATGCCACTCCACAGTACACAAAACTCACCTAAATTTAGCAGAGATTCCCCCATGCAGCTCCCACAATACCTTGAAGACATCGACTTCCTTGGTACTCTCACTGCCCTCAATGACCATGGCAAGATCAGAGCTGCAATCCACTACACTGACCTGGAAGAACCTGAGGTCTGGCAAACACTTCTGGAAGCTGCACCTGCAGCCAATGACTGGGATGCCTTCATAGTCACTGTTAAGGGCTTGTACCCTGGCTGCAAGGGTGACGACCACTACTGCTGTGCAGACTTGCAGTACCTCATCGAAGAATACCAGTCCAAGCCTATGCAAAACCAGGATGACCTTGGAGAATACCAGCAGAAATTCACTAAGATCTCTGCCCTCCTTATTAAAACTAAAAAGCTTGCAGAGACAGAATGGGACTCCATGTTCCTTAATGGCTTCCCAAGGGCCATCACAGATTGTATTTGACATCAACTATCCATAGTCTGCACTGACCTCCACCCAGATGACCCATACCTGCTTGCAGAAGTTGTCAAAGCCACCAAGTTCCTTCTGACAGGATCCACCCTTTGTAGCACACTACCAACATTGGCAACCACAGCCTTGCCAGTTGCACCTCCCTCACCAGCCTACATGCTGCAGGTGCCACCTGCTGGTACTGTCATCAAACAAGAATACAACTTCCAGACACAGTACTTGCCACAGCAATGCAGACCCCAATCACTGGATGAGGATGTGCACACTCATTGAAGTCTATATCTGCACCAGTAAGATCACAAGGGGTACAGACAACCATCTTTATCTCACAGATGGAAGCCAAATTCTGCACTTCCCTGAATGCAACTCACTGAAAGAAGCTTTTGACCATGTCATGGCTGACAGAGACCAGGCCAGTGCATGCACTGTGGCTCCTGCTGCTTTGTGCAACATAGCTGCACAAGGCACTGCTAACCTCTTTTGCATTGCTCACCCTGAAGTTGACATGCAGTTGGAGATCCAGCCATCTGCCTTTCTGAACACTGTCCAGGATGTAGATGAATCAGCCACTGACTTAGATGACCCTGACTTTTAGGCATATGTCACCCAAGCTTGGGCTACATATCAGGCAGACAAAGGTAACAAGGGTGCAGTCATGTCCCACAGAAAGAAAGCCCACTTCAACAGGGTTGAGATTACAGCACAACCCATGGCACATCCAGCCAACCCTCCACAAGTAGATCCTTGTGTAGCCACTGTCAAAGAGGAAATCATTTCCCCTGGTGTTCAGAGTTCATGTGCTGCTCACCAGGCATCCAAGCGATCTGCACCTGTGCCAACATCCACCACTATGAAACCATATGTTCCCCTGACTAATCCCACTCTGATGCCTGCATACAAGGATCCCACACCTGCAGCAGTTGTCCTGTCACAAACACCATACCCAGCAGCTTGCAATCAGAACCAGTATTGTTACTCATTCCCTCTCAAAGATGATGCCACACCCAAGCATATCATGGCATGTGTACTCAAAACCAGCAATGCCTTGCCAGTCAAGGAACTATTTGCAGTAGCCCCTCAGTTTCACAAACAGTTCAGGGACATCACCACCAATGAGATTGAGGTAGTTCATAGTGACAATGACAAGGGAGTACATGTAAATGAACTGACTGGTCACAACCCTCAACAAACTGTGTGCAAGTATGGAGATTGCATCATCTGTGGTGACAACAGTTCCATTGTAGCTCACCACACTCTACCACTCTGCTGCATCAAAGCCAAGGTCCCTGGGACCAATGTCACAAACAACTGCATACTAGATTCCAGCTCAGAAATCATTGCTATGCCTAGGCACATCTGGGAAAAGATTGGGCTGCTGTTGTGCAGTGACCATGTCATGACTATGACCTCTGCTAACATGTCTAAGGACACTACTGTAGGCATTCTAGAGAACCTGAAACTTGACTTTGGAGTTGGACCAGTCATGCTCCAGGTTCAAGTAATTGAACACACCAACTTTGACATGCTTCTTGGGCATCCATTCATCTGCCTTATGAGTGCAGTAACAAATGACTATCCCAACAGTGGACAGTGGATCACTCTCCATGACCTGAATGATGGCTGTGAGTATGCTCTGCCCATGCACCCATGGTATGAGGGCTGTCTGTGCTGTAAGTGTGGCCTCCACACTCAGTGACTTCAACTCGAAATCTCCTCTTCCACACTCAGTGACTTCAAATCTGCCCCTTCCCTGCCCCACCCATGTCCCCCGATGCGTTCAAAATTCCCAACAGCACTTCGACACCTGTTGATGTGCCCGAGACTGCTGAGGCAGTGACAGACATGTTCAGCAATTTGTACAGCTTGGTGGTATGTCTTCCATTCTGCTTGTGTACTAGTCCATTGATATTGACTCACCACTAGAATTTTTCTCCCAACAGTTTGCCCCCTGAATGGGCCACTCCTGCTGCCATTGCTACACCCTCCACCATAGACCCCACTTTACTCTCCCTCAACACTTATCCCCCTCCTGATGTCCCAGCTGACAATGTTCCTGTCACTGAGATGATTAGGCATGACATGGATGTCGACTTCCATTTGATTCTGACTTTCCACAACACCCTACAAGCCATTGTCTACTCACTGGACCATTTCCTTGCTGAACAAGTTGTGTCCAAGAAGGTCCTTGGAAAATGGAAGAGGGAGGACTAGGGAAGGGAAGAGGAGCTGAATTGTGGTTTCTTTGCCTTTGAGGCTTCAACAGCCTTGTAGACCTATATACATCCCTTTGCCCTGTAGTTTCAACACTTTGTTGGTCAGAGTGTATCTCTGTAGTCATACATAAAAAAAACAAGACCATTGTCCACTCTGGCAGCCTGCTGTCCAGCATCTGGTAGATTGAGTTTCATGTGGTGGGCATAACAAGTAGTGAAACAGACCTCACCATATTCCCCCAATGACCCCCTGCATCAGTGCACCTACTACTTACTGCTTTGCTCCACAGCAGGGGGGAAAAGAGTTGGGCATGCATCTGATGTGGTCCATTCCAGAGTGGCAGCCAATGGTATTAATCATGACTTACTATTTCTCAACACTGGCTTCAATCTGTTGCCCAAGTACCTTTGATCTACTACTGAGCATGTTGCAAGTCTTCAGTTTCCTTGCTAGGATGGTTGATGGCTTGCAAAGGACAAGACAGTGATGGGTCAGAACAGACATCTGCAATGTGCTCAAAATTCTCTGGTTGGAAGGCCACTAGAGACAGTAAGTAACCTACATTGCCTGTGTCCATAGGAACATATCATTATCAAGCTGCTCAACAACAAAAAATTTGTCATCATGTTTGGTGTCAGGTGCTAGAACAGCCCCTCAGATGATCGAACACAACAGTATGAAGATGGATGCAGCCCATGGAACTGTCTTGACACATTTGAGTCTGAGATTGCGATCAATAGTGCAGGCCAGTCCAATCCTTGTTGTGAAGGGTTGTGCCAAGATAAATTCCATGTTTCCTATGTCTGGAATGACACAGGAAAACATGCAGATGAGATGAATGAAGGTGGTTTCTGTCTTGGTGTATTGAATAAGCGCACAGTCATAGCAGGGCACACCAAAGAATGATGGGTTGCAGCAGAGATGATCTGTGCACTGGTTCCAAGTGACAGTTGACTCATAGTTGACCAGCAGATAACAGTATTCTTTAACCTTAGCACAAGCACAGTTTCAACTAGATGAATGCATAATGAGAGTGTAGATACATACCGTGAAGTCAGTGGGGAGGGAGATCCATGACTTGACTTGATATCCATATGCCAGAAGGGTGTCATTAAGGAACTTGCAGAACCTTTGGTGGAACTGATGGAACACCATATCTGGATGACCATTTTCCTCCAAGTCTTTCAGGGTTTGGGTTGCGATGACATGTGCACCAAGCTTAATATGATCAAGTGAGGTATGCTCACTGACCGCATCAACTTCTGGATCTGATTCCCCAGAGATGGATTTCTTGAGGTGATCAACATGCAATCTGAGAAGCTTTGTAGCAAGAACTTGATGATCTACCCACAAGACCTAACATGCATTTTAAAGTGACTGTGAGTAGGAGTGTCAGCACACATGGTTGTCATACCTGAGCAGGAACATCTCTACTGTTTGATTGGTGTTCATATGCATCTCAGATTGGCTTATGCATACTTTCATTGGGCCAAGTGCTATAGTTGCATGCAGCACCCTTTAGGCAGATATCTCAAACAACATGCTTCCAGAGGTGGACCTTCAGGAAATTCCAGTCAGTTTGCAGACCATCAATGTTGGACTTCATGACACATTATGACAAATTGGCATGAGCATGAAGCATATAACTACCTTCAGTGTCTGATCAAATGTCAATATTTCATCATTGATCATGTTAACTGTACATTTGGTCTGGACATCTAAGCTGATGAGGCTATCAAGCTGTAGGTAGCTTTGGATGACTCAGAGGATCTGGTACCCTTCAGGGGTTATACTCTTCTTCAAAACATTGATCCCCGCATAGAAGATTTGCTAGGGAAACAGTTCATTGACAGCCATCCAGTATTGGACACATGTACCTTGGAGATATTGGCCAGCTTGTTACCATCTGAAAAAGTGACATGAATAACTTGGTTGAAGTGTGCAAGGTTTTGCCAGTGAGGAAAACTTGCAACACTGTTGTTGTCAAATGTGAGAAGTGACAATGTTCAGAGCAATTGATTGTAAAACAGTGACTCACTACTTCTTGACGTCAGCTTTGATCTGTCACCTGAGCACCTTTACAATCACCTTTAGGTCCCCAAAGACATGCTTTCCCCAAAAACTATGCCCATAATGCAGTTGATCAAAGCTGCAGGCGAGGTGGAGATCAGAAAACCCAATCAGCCAGAACACATTCTGCATCCCATTATATATTAGTTCACTGATGGTGATTTGTTGGTGGAAACTTACTTCAATTGGTCGTAAACCTAACCACTTCAGCAATTCATTGCCTTCAGCTTGATTCATAGCATGAACACATAATGCATTGATGCCCTGGGCATGCGTACAAGGTTCAAAAGTCCTAGAGAGGTCATGGAGTAGCTCTAATGGTACAAGACATACAGGGCAAGGGTGTTTGCCACTGCAACCACAAGTGAGTGCCATCATGCATCTGTAGTAGGCCATTGAGTTAGTATCATTAGTCCAAGCAAGAAGAAGGAAGTATATTACATCTCTTCAAAATCAGCAGACAGCATCATAAGACTCGGAAAGAGCCAATGGGTAATGTTGTCATGCAAAGATGTATGTACATACCCAGTCTTTGAGTACTGCTCAATCTCCAGAAGTAACTTTTTAAAAGATTCATACTCAATGCTGTTGTGCCTGTAAAGTCACTGTGCATCCCAGGTGAAGTGCAGACCAAGGAATGGATTTTCTAAGATATTGAGTGCCCACTCCCACAGTGGGTGAATATGTGCTTCGAACATACATTCTTCCTTTTTGTATGGTACCTTAACTTTGACCCTGGAGAACTATTTAGATAGGTAGGACAGATGGCAACAAATGGATATTTGAAAATCATACCAGAGTGAGTTCCATTGCAGCTGCATCACATGCTTTGCAAAGTTCAGCATCATTCTTGAGCATGACTTGGATGGCTCCCTGTGTGACATGAGCAAAGAGATCCAGCAGGGCATTGACTTGTTGCTGGTTGAGTAGTGAAGCGAGTGCGATTTCCACAAACTCGAAGTCACCCAACATGTGAAATGGGGACCAAGGTGTTTTGTCAACTGGGGTGGGGACTTCTCACTGTGAACATGGAACTCTTCGTAAGACTGATAAATTGGTGGTCAATTGCTTCTTGGATGAAATTGGATCTTGAATTCAGGAAGTTTTGCCACATTAGAACTTGTGGCAGTTGGCATTGACACGTCTGAGGGAATTATGAGCACTACAAGAACATGCGCCGAAGTGAATACATACCTGAGGCTTGGAGCATGTCGCTTGTCTCATTGTAATCTTGTCCCATAGTCACCTCGACTGCAGCCGCAGTTTGTCTGAGACTAGGACCACAACATAAATGGAAATCAGACTCACCAGGTTCATTGATGAAAAAATATCCTGTATCTGTGTGGTGAGCTTCAGGCACTTGAGGCTGCGATTTGAGTACTGATGCTCTCGCAGCTTGATGGTGGGCAGCTGAGTTAATAATTGAAGCCAGAAACCATTACATTGGGTCTGCCTGTGCTATGCACCAATTCACATACCTTGTTGTTTCTCTTCATACTGACATTCGAAAGCTACACACTCCCTCTCATCTTCTTTGTGCTTCCTGCAACTTGCCTCATGCTGCTTGAAGACAGTTTTCTGAAATTTCCTGTTACAGTGAGGGCATTGATGGAGAATGGCATGATTCCATTCAGCATTTTGACAGGTCAAAGCCAAACAGGTGGTACAGGAGGGAGCCATGAGAGAAGATGTATCATAGCTGGACTAGTTTGTCCTTTGATCCCGGGTTTGGCTGATGTAAGACAATGTCATGCCATATCAGTCATTATCAGATTGTTCTCACTTGGTAACTCAGGTAACTCCTGTCCAATGAAATTTCTTCCCTTGGCACTGCCCCCAAGCCATTGACATGTCATTACCAGACCACTTTAATGACCCTAATAAGGAAATATGCGAGCATTGTCAGCTGGCAGCATTATCATGCGCTTCGAAAATTTGTGACATACCCTCAACAAAGTGGAAAGCTGTTACTCCCAGGCTAAGCTTGAGTTGTATGGCCTCTTCCATGCATTGCACACAGTTCACATATACATCTTCAGTCTCACTAACTTCACTGTCGAGGTAGATGTGAAGTATATCAAGGGCATGATAAATAACCTGGATCTGCAGCCTAATGTGATGATCAATTGGTGGATCACTGGCATCCTCCTCTTCTCGTTCAAACTTGTGCACATTCCTGCAGACAGGCATGCAAGCCCTGATGGCTTGTCCCACTTTTTGTGGTCAGAACTCAACCTGCCCAAGGATGATGACCACAAGGATTGGCTAGACCATTTTTACTCTTTCTCTACAGAGGCTGTCAATGACCACCTGCCTCCTATGTCCCTTTCCAATCAAGATCATCCTTCCTTACTGCTACCTGCTTGCCATTGGGCAGGCCTCCTGCCACCTGCATCCTTCTATCTTGCATTCTCCACAATTGCCCATGCTGATAACCCTTCTGATACCCCTGATGACCCTGCCATTCCATGGTCCATGAAAGCTTGGGCATGCAAGGCAAAGATAGAAATGATCCACACATTCCTTGCAACCTGCAAGTGACCTCCTGACCTTACTGATGTGCAGTACTCATCTTTCTTTAATTCAGCCAACCACTTCTTCCTCCTAGATGGTAACTTATGGTGTGGGGAACTGCATGGACAGCACCAGCTAGTCATTGACAAGTCCAAGCAGTATCATCTCATCAAAGAAGTGCATGATGACCTCAGACACAAAGGTGTCTTCATGGTCCACACCTGCCTTCTCCTTTGCTTTTGGTGGCCTCTGTTTGTTGAGGACATGAAGTGGTATGTTCACACTTGTCACAAATGCTGGATCCACTGGATGCAGAAGCTTCATATCCCTCCCACTGTGCCCATGATAGGGGGCCTGTTTCATAAAGCTCACATTGACACAATGCTAATGCCCAAAGCTGGCAGCTACTGCTACATAGTACAGGCCCAATGCATGCTCACCTCATATCCCAAGTGGTGCATGTTGCAGTGTAGGGAGTGGTATACTCCCTGAGGCTGAAATAGGGATGCCAACACCAAGATTCTGCCATTACCAAAGTCGACCCCTATCAGAGTTCCACATCTGTCATCTTCAGAATTATTGCATCAGCCTCATGTGCCACCTTGCCCATCGAACCTTTGGAGCTCCCCTGTCCATCAATAACACACACCAGTCATCATCCCAGAATTCTGTGTCAACATCAACCTGACATATGTCTATCTGGAATTCTGCAGTCATGTCACCTCATCCTTCACCTCGCCATGTAGCTGGGAAATCATGCAGATCATCAGTAATACACTCCAGTTACCCCTCTTGTTCCTTTCCCATAAATCTTTCTCTGCAATGTGAGAACCCCTTTGCATCTACAGCCTCTATCCTTCGCATATGCTACTCTATGGTACATGGTATGCTTGTTCTGTTGAAAGATACCCATCTTTCCCTTTTGTTTCTCTCAGTTACTGCTTTTCAGTTTGTTTTCACATGATTCTGTAGTGCATTGACATCTGTCACATCTCCCTTTATTTTTCGGAATTGTTACTTCACCCACCCCACATTATCCCAATCAGTACCTTACTCTCCATGTACTATATAATTCCGCCTCAGCAACAGAAAAATACCACCCATCTTTTGGAGTCACTATCCAAGTCATTCATGTGTCTAAGTGTTCAAAGTGTCTGCTGCATCCTCTGTGTCTACTGTGTCATCTGTGTTTCTAGCATCAATCTGTGTCTACTGTGTCTTTTGTGTCCCCCACATATCTGTGTCTTGCCTTCGTGTCTCACAAGTCTTGGAATTACTTCTTTGTGCCAAGATTGTCACTTGGAATTTTGTAAACAAGTCTATTCAGACCCAAATTGTCTACAACACTGCAGAATTAAATTCCACACCCTACATTCAACTTCCTGATCGACTCTACCACCATATTCTACATCTCCTTCCTACTCAGCACCCCTTGGGTTGAGCCTAGCGATTACCCTACAGCTTTCCCCCTAATCACATGCTACCCAGAGGTAGTGTCCCACAGTGGGCAGAAAATAGTACCATGCTCACATCCTTCATCTTTGAGGACATTCTATGCCATTGGGTCCACTTGCTGAGATTGTCACTGACAATGGTCCTGCATTCATTCAAGCCTTAGATGCCCTAGCTGTGCAATATCATATCCATCACATCCATATCTCTCCTTACAACTCTCAGGCTAACAGCATTGTAGAGTGTTGCCACTATGATGTGCATGAGGCTATCATGAAGAGCTGCAAGAATGATGACTGCCACTGGCACACCATTGCACACTCTGTGTTCTGGGCTGAGTGAGTCACCATCTTGAAGTCCACAGGTCTATCCCCCTATTTCATGGTACATGGTGTCGAACTGCTGTTCCCATTTGACCTTGCTGAGGCTACTTTCCTTTTGCCCCAATCCCATGATGATGTGACACCACTGACTACCACAGAACTGATTGCTTGGCACACATGCCAGTTACAGAAGCATCAGGATGACCTAGACCAGGTCCATGATAATGTCCTCCATGCATGCTGCCAGTCTATCCAGCAGTTTGAAGCCACCTTTCAGTGTTGCATTAAAGACCATAACTTTGCTCCCAGCACCCTCATGCTTGTTTGCAACTCCTGCATAGAGAAAGAACTGAACTGGAAGATGAAGCTACAGTACACTGGCCCCATGGTCATCCTTCATCAGACCACTGGGGGCTCATACCTGCTGGCTGAGTTGGATGGCTCCATCTTGAGACTCCACTTTGCTGCATTCCACCTACTTCCCTACCACCCACAGTCTCAAACCCATGTGACTGTGACTCACATTACTGGGTTAGGTGATGAAGAACTAGACTGCCTTCTTGAGGAGACTGAGGATGACCCCACTGACAATGAGGTAGAGGCTTTTGCCTTGGACAGCTGACTGTCCTCCCTTTCTGGCACCCACAGCCCATCCATTGTGCCCTCCCCTTCTTTCCTTCCTACTTGCCTCCATACCCTCTCCTCTGACAATACCCCTACCTCCTTCTGCAGCTTTGCCCACCTCTCTGCAGCCTCTTCTGCTACCCTCATTCCTTTCCCCATGCTGACTGGGGACAGTCAGTGTTCAAAGTCCCCCACAGGGGTGACCCACACACCACTCAATACCAAACATAGTTCATTTCCTTTTATCTGTTTTACCCTGTGTTCCATCCAGAGACATCTGTTCCACCCTGGGTTTTGTCTGGTGATTCTACTGATAGCTAGTCCTCACACAAAAAACATAAAAACTGCTAACAAAAAGTCAAAAACTGTCCAGAAACATAACAAAAATAAGTATATAGCTAAAACAATGTTTCTCCTGTCTCTCTTACTAGTCTTGCTGATACCATCATTGGCTGCTATATACCATGGATACTTGCAACTACCCTGTGCATTTCTTCTTTGAACATGCAGCCAGCATGTGCACCTTGATCTGTTTTCCTTTCAGTTCTTCTTCTGTCTCCTTGCAATTGATACCCAAAGACTGTCCCAGTTACCCAATAAACAGTCCCTTCATTCTCTCTTCAAGAATCTGTCACATCCTACTGTCAAGACCATTCTATGAGGACTCACTGCTGAGAGAAGTTGAAAGTTGCACAAAGAAGACAAGTTGGGCAGTACCCCACACACAATACAATACTGCAGCTGATCTAGGGCCAGTTCCTTGCCACACAGACAGAGGTCTTTCACAATGCCTGATGTCACAACTACCAGGGACAAGACAAGGCTTGGTATATTCCTGCACATAAGATGTGGGCTGCAGCAAAAATGGGACAGGATGCAGAAGGGTGTCTACAAACTACATGGTCATCTACTCTATGCCAAGGTATTCAAGGGCCTCTGTGAGCTGGTCAACACAGACCTGAGATGCATGGTGGCTGCATGTGAAGCCATGGCCTTGGCCCTCACAATTGTCAGTGCTCGAGACAAAGCCATGGCAGTCTTGTCATCCAGTCCACCATACACTGGTGCCTTTCCTTTTCCATGGGCCCTGCTCTCGACCACCTCCACAATGTCATCATCATCATCATCATTGTGACCCTACTTTGATGGACTGGCCTTAGGGGCCTTGATGGATCACACTGTAGCAGATTAGCCTTGGACACATCAAGACACAACCACTACTTACCAACTGATGTGCCCACCTGCACCTTCTTCCCTGCCACTTTGCTTGACTTTTCACAGCCCTGCTTGATCCTTGCACAGGCATTGCAGGTCTTGCCCAATGTTCCAGTACAAGAAACCCCCTTCAGAGTGCACCACATGCATGGCTCCTTGTGGGTGACTGTACCCATGGCTGGGATATGGATCTTCAGCCAGGCAGGCTCTTTGTCACTCTCAGCAACAGTCTGCCAAGGGCACTGTGTGGTGGCAGTGTCAGTGAGACTGGAAGACATGCCCATGTTGACTTGCCTTGCAAGCTGGCTGCAGAACTTCCACATGTGACATCTTCACTGCACCATCATTGCCAAGCTCCACCATGGTCTCCTCTCCCATCTGAACATCTTGCTCTGCCTTTGCACATGCTTCCACTTCCTCCACAGTCCATTGCTTGTACAGATCATCAGCCTCTGCCAGCACAGGAGCATCTGCTGTGCTGACTCACATGGACACCCCAAGCACCTTCCCTTGCTCAACCAGGGGAATCAGTACTGCCTGTTGCAGGCTTGTCAATGTCATGTGGCCAGGTCACCATGCAAACCACCTACCATCTTCTCCTCCCAGTGCCTCAGCCACATCATCTTCTCCTCCTGCATGTCCTCCTGGTCATCAGGCATGCACTTTGCCTTGGCCACAAGCCCTGCTGACACAGCTGTGAGCTGCTCTCTTAAGGAAGCCTTTTCAGCTTCCACAGGATCTGGGGTAGACATGCAAATGAGTTGGGAAAGCTGGGGGGCATGGTTAGCAGACATGATTAGAGCATTAGAGGAGATTGATGATGAGGGGGAAAGAATCAAGTTGATGCAAAGGTTTGACCTGCGCACTGACAGTTATATACTTAGCAGCCATGAGGTGCTTATGTCATTGGTGTGAGTCAAAGTGTGGTTCAGTGGTGAAAACCAACCAAAACCAACACAAAAGACAACAAAAGTGAGTGGTGGTGTGCCTATGCGGTACCTAGATGGTAGAACCTGTTTTTTTGGGAGGGTTTCTGCGAGCTACAACACTCAAAGATGAGTGCTGAGGGTTGGGGGTGCTCCTGACAAAGAGGGAGCAAGACTGTGATAGAAAGTGATAGAGTAGACTGCTGTCAGCCTACAGAAGGATGGATGGTGACTTAATTTGATGTCCTAAGCTGTACTGAGCTCAGGGAGGGCTTGGAGCGAAGTATATGGATGATAGATGATAATAAGCGAAGTAGATGATAGCTAGACCCTTAATAAAGTCTCAACTATCGAAGCTGATGAATGATTTACTGAGAGATGATAAATTGCGAGCAAGAGGGGCTCTCTGATGTCTTTTTTTTTTTTTGCTACCTAAGTACAGTGACTTATATACAGTACAGGGGCATTGCCTATGGAAAACAAGGTGCAAACACTTGGTAAGCAATTGGTAACTAATGAGTAAGGAATGTAAGCGATGGGTAATCGTCTTGGAAAGCATTGGTAAGCATTGGTAAGGATAAGTAAGCCAAAAAGCGAAGAATCAGTAAGCAAAGTCAAAAGATTGGTAAGTATTTGCAATAGGTGAGTCAAAGACAGTCAGAATGTCACAGTATGAGTCAAGTAATGTCAGGAACTGGGAAAGTGCACTGGAATCACATTAGGGGGAGGCTGTGCATGTCACATCTTGAAGAGATTGCTTCTAGGCCAAAGTGGGATGACAGAGAGGCAGTGCTGATCTGATGCCGATATAGTACATCCAAAAGCAGACAGGGTGAGTCAGATGTTAACAGGGGTCAAGCTTTGGGGGTCTGTGGGGTGACAGGAGCATAGGGGATTGCAACTTTCCCCCCCAAACCATCCTCTCAGTGAAGCAAATAAAAACTTCATGAATGAGGCTCTGTTGGAAGAGAGGATGAAGGGGGAGCATCTTCTGCTGTATCTTGCAACAAGGAGGCAAGATGTGCATCATACTCGTCATGGATGCAATCAGGGAGAGTGGAGAACAGTAGATTATACTGTAGCTGTCACAATTTTGGAAGAATGATGGATGAGACTGGTATGAAGACGTTGCAGGGGGCAGGGAGGAAGGATCCATATGCTTCTTGGACTGGAGAGACTGAAATGACCACATAAGACCTTTCCAAGCGAATGACAGACCTGAGGCAACCAAAGAACGTCCTCCTGGAGGTCATACTGACAAAAAGAACATGCTGTCCAAGCTGGATGGGCTGAGAGGGGGCAGATGAGGGTGGGATGTACCAGGACACTTCAGGACAGAAGCTGGTAGGAACTCCTGGTAGATATATGTAGCCATGGTCCCTAGCAAAGGGGACAAGCAAAATGACTGATGTGGAGGCAGCCATATCAGAAGAATTAGTGAAATGAGCATCTTTTGGAGGGAGTGCTGTAGAAACGTGTGGAGTGCGCAAATCCTTTCCAATCTTGGAAGGTAGGATCGTGTGGCTGAGCACTACAAGCGAGTGTGGGAATGGTTTCGGTGTCTGCAGAATTGGTGGAGATACATCGAAAACCGGAATGCCGTACATGGGCGCTTAAGAATTTTATTGGCACTTAACTTGCCTCCTCCTTTTTCTTTGGCACTGACAACCTGTTCTTGTGCGAGGGATGACTGCCAACATTGCTGGCTGTCCTTCTTCACATGAGGGCTATGGTCTTCACCTCCATTCATCAGCTACATCCATGTCCACCTCACCAAACACCTTTGGTGTGTGACACTGCCTGAGCATGATGGCGAGTCAAGTCCCAAACATGCTCAGAAAAAGACAGTGGCCAAAGCAACAAGGACTGGCAAGGTTGACTCTGTGAAATTGGTGAAAAATGCTGATGGAGAGATTTGGATAGGAGAAATTGTGGGCCTTAGCTGGGACCAACTACAAAAAATGGTTTGCAGATTTGTGACTGCTCACTACTGTGAGTGGCCAGAGTATTTAGTGTCCTCAATCTCTGATGAGTGCTATCAGGATTAGCATGTGGAAATCCCTTGTCAGCAGTGCCATTCAAGAATTTTGGTCATCATCAAGCAGAAATGATAGCAGCCTGCCATCTTCCTGAAGGATTTACCTTCAACCATGACCCGAGTCACATGTGGATGACAACAGCTACCCAGCTGCTGTCCTTTTGGCACAAGTGACAGGAATCCCATCCAAATGATGTGTTTGGATTTCAGAAATGGATTGATCGATCTGGCAAGCTGCAGCCACCAGTGGATAGAACTTTGGCACCCCTCCAGGTTGTGAGGCAGTGGAAATACTGAAAGACACCTGCCCCCAAATGCAAAAAGAATCCCAGAAGGAAAAATGTCAAGGGCAAGGGTAAAGTGCAGGAAGAGGGAGTGGTGGATGATAGCATGGATGATAGCACAGATGACAGTGTGGATGACAGTTTGGATGATCACAGCAAGGCTGAGGCAAGTGATGTTGGAACAGATGGTCCCTCTGCTAAAAAGGTGTGCCATGTGTGATTTTCATGCACAACAGATCAGTGCTAATGCAATTCTGGTCTTCAGGTATCTGGCAGGAGGCAAAACCATGCCAAGACACCATTTCCTTCTCATTCCTGCTCAAATCCCCCACCAGCTGATGGTTCCCATAGTGAGCAGCTCTCTGCACCTCCAGCTCATGCAAAGACCCCAGTGCATTGTGCATGAAATAACATGCTAACTGACTATAATGGGTGGGAAAGAAATGGCCATGATTCCAATGATGAAGCTGATGAAGACACTTATTTGCCCACCCTATCCAATTCAAAGAAAACAGCAACATCCCTGAATAGTGAGCTTCCCACTGTAACTTGTATTTGCAGCAAACCCTGATCTGCACTCAGGGAACAAGTACACAACTGAATTACAGGACCACTCAGAATATGCAGATGAAGATGGATTGGAGAGCATTCCTTTCACTGACCACCCAACCAAGGAGGGGTCAACGAGCAGAAAAAAAGGTGGAAAGCTGAAATCTGCCCTGAAGTGCACACACCAGGCAAGTTCAGTCATGTTGAATCAGCTGTTATGGCTAACAAATTTGCACTGTATATTAAGCAGGCTCTGTCAGAATCGAGTGAGCCAGACATGAATTGACATCAACCTGGGGCCAAATACTTGTCCAAGTCCAACCATAATGGATCTGTGACCACCAATGCAGCATCCATGAATGTGAAACAGGGCATCCCTGGGAGCACCTGGAAGTCACCTTGTGTCAGAAAGGCCCCTGCAAGGCCAGATGCAGATGTTCCATCTCCTGATGCAAAGAGATCATGCAAGCAAACAGGCAGCAATCAGAAGCAGAAGTAGTTGTCAAATCCCTCAAACAGTCAGAGTGGAAACCTTTTTTGGAACTCATGAATGGTCTATACAGGGCTTAGCCTAGTGTGACACATTAGAATACAAGTGTATGGCATGTACAGGAGCTCATGACACCATGGTGGTTGTGAGAGGTGTCTTTGATATCAGAGAGAGGGATAGTAAAGCAGGACAGTTGAGCAGGACAATTGAGCAGAGAGCTGAGTGGGACAGGTCTATGTATTGGCCATGTGGAAGCAACTGGTAGCTATCTATGTAGGGAGATATTGCTGCTCATCTCCCATGTATTGCTGTTACCCAAAATTTGGCTCCATCCGCCATTGTCCAACCTTGCTTCCCACAGTGTGAATGATATTCTCACCATTGTTCCTACAAGTTTAAATCTTGATTGATCATTGACCTATCAGTGAACCCATCATCATTGAATATGTCTGCCAAACAGTCCTGCCATGTTCATTTCTGTTGTCAAGGTGAGGTTGTCTTCATTGTTGGATCCAGCAACCTAAGCCATCCACAGCTAATGTAAGACCAATTGAGCCAAGGCAATCTAGCTCCTGCATGAAGCAGTCCAAAAATCTGGAGGAGACACTAGTACAACTGCATGTGTTGCAAGAGCCAACCCCTCCACCAATTGTCTCAAGTGGAAGGGCAGATATGGTGGGGTCAAACATGGATATCACAGCCAGTGAGTGAACATGATTTCTCTCCAAGCTAAACAACAAACATTCTTTCACTATAGATTCATGCGAAAGCTTGGTGGATCAGTTCCTGCAGGAAAAGGAGCCAATTGCTCTGGCAGAGGGCAGAATTGCAGCTGGTGAGTTGGCATGATTGCCCTTCAAGCTAACAAACAAACTAATTTTCTAGTAATAGATCCACACAACAACTTGATGAATCAGTTCCTGAATGAATGAGAACCAACTGCTCCCCCAGCAGATGGTATGAATGTGGATCTACTCGAGCAATTGCTGAATGCACAGGAACCATTGGCACTGCCAGTCACACATGAGAAATTAAACAGGATGGACAGGTCTTCAACACCTGCACAAGATGTTACTATGCAGGTTGATTTTCTGGCAGACTTGCAGAATGTGTGGGAACCATCTTCTCTGCCCATCACCCACAAATCATCAAATCTGAGGGACCAATCTCCTTGACTTGATTCTCCGACTAACCTGCTTGCTCAATTGCAGGATATGAGGGAACCAACACCTCCACCACTCGTTTCAAATGTACCTGTTGAATCTTTTGACTTGGCAGCAGATGAGGACAATGGCACAAACCGTTTGACTTTTGGCATGCCCAAACAATCAGAAATGAGGGACCTTTTCAAGGAAATATGCAATGGTGAGCATTTGTTTGGTTCTATTCATGTGATCAGTGATATCCATTGATTATGTAGGTGAACTTCCATCCACACAGCAATCTCTTCAAATGGAACAATGGGAATTGGCACCTGTTCCATGTTGTGATCAAGGTATGGGCATGAGCTTAATCTGATACACCTTTGACATTGATAATTTTAGTCCTGCATGCCTTACATGCCATGGTATCTTGCTATTGCAGAACCACCACTCCCAGCAACATGCTGTTCGATCCCACTGTTGATAGGCACCTTGTGCAGGCTGCAAATGCCATTGTGAGAGAATTGGGCACAGCTGCAAGGGACCAGTATGGTGCAGCCTCTCAGGGCCTTTGACTTGTCAATATGCTCGATTTGATGGAAGTCATTTGTTATCCATGTTCCACCTTTGAAAATTGTCCTGAGCCATTCACCACCAGCCAATCACACCCATCTCACCAGTCTGTGGTAGAGATGGGTATCCTCTACTTGGCATGCCAGATTGAGGTGGCCTCTGTACATCTGAAGCAGACTGCTGATATTGCGGCATGGCCTGTGCATTGGTTTGCAAACCTAGCAATGGACTTGGTAGGTTTTACATCAATTTTTCACAATGTGGGACTGATACATAATTCCTTCAGAATCAGCTTAATAGCTTGATTCTGGTGACAGTGTTGTATTCCAGTTATACTCCTCCCTTCCTGGCATGCTACCATGCATACCTCAGACACCAAGATGATGAGGTTAGCTTCCATGATCAAATGCAGCTAATTCCCCTTAGTGCATTTAGCATAATCAACAATATCAGCACCATCATCCTGCATTGGACCCCACATGCAGCTGATCCAAATATGTTTCAGAAGCTTGGGCTGTATGAGGAGGTTGAATGGCCCTCAGATCAAAAGATCATTGATTCAAAATGGGTATACAAAGTAAAGCAAGGACCAACAGGCAACATCAAGAAGTACAAGGCATGTCTCATCACTAGGGGGTTCACTCAAGTTCATGGAGTGGACTATACTGATATGTTTGCCCCTGTTGCAAAGTTTATTACTATTCAAATCTTGCTCACTCTCACAGCCAAGTATGACCTCAAGTTACACCAAATTGATGTCAAGTCAGCCTTCCTGAATGGAAAACTGGACAAAGAAGTCTTCCTTTGACCTCCTCCCAGGTTCTGTACATCTGCAGATGTAGTTTGGCACCTTCACTGTGCTCTTTATGGCCTAAAACAAGCTCTGAAGGCTTGGTATACCCACTTGAGGGAAGTTTTCGAAGCCCTAGGCTTTGTGTGCAGTGATGCAGACCACAGTTTGTTCTACAAATTCAAAAGTGGAGTTCTGATTATAGTTGCTGTCTATGTGGATGATAAACTCATCTTGTTGAAGAGTCATGATGCTATTGACCAGCTCAAGACTCAGCTCTCCTCAGAGTATGACCTATCAGATTTGGGCAAGGCATGATGGATCTTAGGAATGGAGATCATCTGAGACTGTGATAAAGGAGAAATCAAGCTCTCACAGGAAAGATATGTCAAGTGCCCAATACCCAGTCAATTGATGGATTGAAGCAGGTGAGCCAGTTGAGTCCTAACACCAGCAAACAAGAGGAATCCAATGGAGTAGCATAAAATGAAATGGAGTTGACATTGCTGGAAGGAAAGCAGAGGGAAAGATCTACTTCTTGGGAAATGACAGCATTTGTACTACCATCAAACAAGTGGAGCAGAGTAGTCTGAGAAACAGAAGAAACAGGAATAGAATAGGAATGAGAGGAGCTGGAATTGATCAATGCAGAAACAGTATCAACAAAATAGTCAAGAAGAGTTACAGATGGAAGTAAAGAATCGGGACTGGAGAGAGCAGATGCATTGAGTCAGATGTCCAGTTGTGCACAGTTGGGGTCAACACTTCCTCCAGGCTGTGCAGACTCCCTGGAGGAGCAGACTAATTTTTTGGCTCAGCCTTCTCCACAGGCAGAGCTTCAGCCATAGCAGCATGGGCTTTGGCTGCATGGGAGGTTGACTTGGGACAGTCCTTAGCAGAGTGGCCAGCCTTGCCACAGAAGAGGCAGATGCTGGTGCTCAGTGGAGGTGAGCTTGCCATCCTTACCCAGAAGATGGGCAATATCAGACTTGGACACATTGGACTTGGGTGGATCTTTCTGCCTGCCCCTGCCCTTGGCATCAGACTTCAGAGCAGAGGAGGAGGAGGATGGCTTGGGCTTGTTGTCAGAGTTAGAAGACTGTGACTTGTCAGTGGTGGGCTTGGTGGTGTGCAAGATCTCCACTTTGTGCTCCCAGTAACATGCATCAATGGTTTGGGCAAGCTTGCAGAGTTGCACAAGGGTAGAAGGTTTTCCAATGCAAGTGATCTCATCCTTCATGTGGTCTGGAAGTCTGCTATAGAAGTGGTGGCAGAGTGCACCAACACCATAGTCCTTGACCTGTGAAGCCCAATGATTGAACTCCACAACATACTTGGTGATCTGAGAGCCATCCTTCATAGTGAGGTTCTTGAGTTGCTGGATGGCATTGGCTATGGCATCATGCAGACTGAAATTGGTTGTGAGTTCATGTAAGAACTCATGGTAGTCATCCATCTACAGTGGATGGTCATAATCTTTGGGATTTAGCAGGTCCAGCTCAAACCAAGCCAAGGCCATACCATTTAGATAGGATTGAGTGAAGGTAACCTTTGCCCTGTCAGAGTGGAATGTGTGGAGGCAGTCCTGGAAGTTCAGCTTGCACTGTACAAGGAACTTGTGGAGTTTCTTTGGGTTGGAGCTGTGGAAGGTGTCAGGCTCATGGACCTTAGTTTTTGGAGTGGAGTCCCCAGTGCATGAACCAGACTGTGTGAGCACATGGACAGCTCTAGCAAGAGTGATGAGGGGGTCTTCTGGCAGCTCAGCCAGGTCTTCAGGGATACCCCTGTCACTGCTTCCCCTGCCATCAGAACCACTATCAGGATCATTGGGGTCTGGGTTGGGTCCATCATCTCAGTTATGAGGCAACAGAGTGTGGAAGATTGTTGGATGGAGGTCAGAGCAACCAGCTTGCAAAGTGCTTTTTCCTTCAGCATGAGAGCAGTGTCAAGCAGAGAATGTTTGGAACTGTTTGATGGTGGAAGGAAGGCAATATGGATTAGCCAGTGCTGAAGCAAGGTTGTCAGCAACCTCTCCTTGGGATTGAGCTTGAGTTCTCATAATGGCATAAGTTTTTCAGGAGACAGGAAGTGAGATTGTACAAGTGTGAGTACAAATATACTGTCAAGTCCAGGCCTACTCTGACCAACTCCAATGTGAAACAAGGTCTGGGGAGAGGTTTGGGAGCAAGTCTGACACAGTCAAATGGAACTCCAACAAGTGGAGGATTGGCAGGAATGAAGTCTGCTGAGACAGAAGCAGAGTGGAGTGAGGGTGTTGGGTTTAGCTCATGTGCTGCCCCCTTGCATGAGCTCAGCCCTCATATTTCAGAGGAAGAGACCAGATGGAAGATCAGAGTTAACTCTGACAGACAGAAGACAGAGAGATATGGAGTAGGAACTTAGGTGATATTTGTACTGAAGAACAGCAGAGTACTGTACAGGCTTTTATACTACCATGGAGGTACAGTAACCAGAATTGGAACTGACATACAGAGACCTGTAAATTGTCAAGTGAAAACTTCCTGGATGATGAATGAAGGGGAGATGGAGAACATATGATGGGTAACATAGAACAAACCAAAAAGGAAACAGTCCAGGTGCTGAACCATGAGGTGCATGCACTGCAGAGTACCTGACTGCATACTGTCAAGGAGAAGTCTGAAGGCTGGACTGGCAAGAGTCATGTGACCCACTGGAAAGCAGTCTGTGTGGTCTGACAGAAGGCTGGTACCAAGTCTGACAGTAGCCAGAGCAGAGAAGACTTGCAAATGACAGAGGACCAGCAGAGTTGGTGTGGAGTGAGTGGAATGGCCAGTGGAGTAGGGTGTGGAGTGAGTGGGGACCTAGGATAAATGTACAGTCATGACAGACAGACAAGACTGGTATGAAGATGTTGCAGGGAGCAGGGAGGAAGGATCCATATGCTTCTTGGACTGGAGAGACTGAAACAACCACATAAGACCTTTCTAACCAAATGACAGACCTGAGGCAACCAAAGAATGTCCTCTTGGAGGTCATACTGACAAAAAGAACATGCTGTCCAAGCTGGATGGGCTGAGAGGGGGCAGACAAGGATGGCATGTACCAGGATGCTTCAGGATGGAAGCTAGTAGGAATCCCTGGTAAAATATACATAGCCATGGTCCCTAGCAAAGGGGACAAGGGAGATGATTGATGTAGAGGTGGCCATATCAGAAGAATTAGTGAAATGAGCATTTGTTGGAGGGAGTGCTGTTATGTTTTACCCTTGTTTTTGCCTTGTTGCTACCTCATTTCCTTCTGCTGGATGTTCTTTCCTTTCTTGGCCATCTTCTCCTTGTTCCAATGGCCTTTTACTTCCATCACTAGCAATATTCCCTCATGCCTCATTTGGGACATGCAATGTTGTTGTTCAACCAATAGCATAGATAACTCATTACATGCAGATGCCTCATGATCCATTTACATGTAGTATTTAGTCTGCCAGCTCAAGCCCTGGAACCTCAGACTTGAGCTGCTCAATCATACACAGCATTTCTCAGAACTTTGCCCTCAGAGTCCCTAACCTGGACTTCTCTTACTGGCATTGCCAAATCCTCTGTCATTTACAGAGGTTTCTGTAGCTGTTGCTTCAGTAGAAACCATTAGCCTGTGGCTGAGCTCAACCTACATCTCAACTTCAGTCAAGTGTAACAAAAGCTCAAGTCTAAACAGCCTTTTGGCCAATGGTCACTGTTTAGTGAACCACCAAGAACCCCTGAAATAACTGACATTGGGTGCCATTGTGACCCACATGATGTCACACACCAAAGGTGTCTGGTGAGGTGGACATGGATACAGCTGATGAATGGAGATGAAGACCATAGCCCTCATGCAAAGAAGGACAGCCAGAAATGTTGGCAGTCATCCCTCACACAAGAATGAGTCATCAGTGCCAAAGAAAAAGAAAGGGAGTGAGTTAAGCACTGGTTAAAATTCTTAAGTGCCCATGTACAGCATTGCAGTTTTTGACATATCTCTGCTGTATCTGCAGATACTGAGACCATTCCCACACTCACTTGTAGTGCTCAGCCATGTGATCCTACCTTCCAAAATTGGAAAGGATTTGCACACTCCACATGTTTCTACAGCACTCCCTCCAAAAGACACTCATTTTGCTAATTCTTCTGATATGGCCACCTCCATGTCAATCATTTTGCTTGTTCCCTTTGCTAGGGACCATGGCTACATATATATACCAGGAGTTCCTACCAGCTTCCATCCTGAAGCATCCTGGTACATCCAACCCTCATCTGTGCCCTCTCAGCCCATCCAGCTTGGACAATGTGTTCTTTTTGTCAGTATGACCTCTAGGAGGACATTCTTTGGTGGCCTCAGGTCTGTCATTCACTTGGAAAGGTCTTATGTGGTCATTTCAGTCTCTCCAGTCCAAGAAGCATATGGATCCTTCCTCCCTGCTCCCTGCAATGTCTTTGTACCAGTCTTGTCCACCATTCTTCCAAGATTGTGACAGCTACAGTATAATCTACTGTTCTCCACTCTCCCTGATCACATCCATGATGAGTATGATGCACACCTTGCCTCTTTGTTGCAAGATACAGCAGAAGACACTCCC